GATTATATTTTGTAGACTCGGGTCATTCTAGTCACGTGATTATATTTTGTAGACTCGGGTCATTCTAGTCACGTGATTATATTTTGTAGACTCGGGTCATTCTAGTCACGTGATTATATTTTGTAGACTCAGGTCATTCTAGTCACGTGATTATATTTTGTAGGCTCGGGTCATTCTAGTGACGTGATTGTATTTTGTAGACTCGGGTCATTCTAGTCACGTAATTATATCTTGTAGACTCGGGTCATTCTAGTCACGTGATTATATTTTGTAGGCTCAGGTCAGGTCATTCTAGTGACGTTAGAATGACACGAGCCTACAAAATATAATCACGTGACTAGAATGACCCGAGCCTACAAAATATAATCACGTGACTAGAATGACCCGAGTCTACAAAATATAATCACGTCACCAGAATGACCCGAGTCTACAAAATATAATCACGTGACTAGAATGACCCGAGTCTACAAAATATAATCACGTGACTAGAATGACCCGAGCCTACAAAATATAATCACGTGACTAGAATGACCCGAGCCTACAAAATATAATCACGTGACGATTATATTTTGTAGCCTCAGGTAGTTTTAGTCACGTGATTATATTTTGTAGACTCGGGTCATTCTAGTCACGTGATTAATTCTTCCAAGCTCTGAGCAGGCTGTTCTATTCATATGATTATCTTCTTCGGATTTACAACGCTAAAATCGAGGGGTCGATTCCCCTCGGTGGACACAGCAGACAGCCCGATGTGGCTTTGCTATGATAATACACACACCTACATACATGTACACGATATTTGTCTTTCCCTATCTATAATCAAGTAGATAGAACCTGCTGCACGTCCATTAGAACTGTGACGTCATTTCTGAAGTTTAGAGGATTACTTTACTTTGAAAGAAGGTAAAATAGGAACTATGATGATGTTTGGAAATCTTTCTTTTTTTAAACTAAGTAAATTCCTTATCCGAACTTCGTCTAAGTTGAATTCATTCCAACTTGTAATTACAGACAAATAACTTATTTACCGAAATATCGGTTTTTGTTATAACAATTAAACCGTTCATTAGTTTTTCTTATCAGTTTCTTTCCTGAGTCTAAAAAAAAAATGGAAGGGGTTCATTGGCTCTTTAGTACAGCTCTGGGTTCGAATCTGTTTATTACTACAAAATATTCCTTGCATTTTAATCTGTGGGTGCATTACTCTGTTAACTTTGAATAGTCACTCTCGACCAACACACCAAGTTTCAATAATCACTCGCGGCTAGCATAACAAGTTTCAATAATCACTCGCGGCTAGCATAACAAGTTTCAATAATCACTCGCGGCTAGCATAACGGGTTTCAATAATCACTCGCGACCAACACACCAGGTTTCAATAATCATTCGCGACCAGCACACCAGGTTTCAATAATCATTCGCGACTAGCACACCAGGTTTCAATAATCACTCTCGACAAGCACACCAGGTTTCAATAATCACTCTCGACAAGCACACCAGGTTTCAGTAGTCACTCGCGACTAGCATACCAGGTTTCAATAATCATTCGCGACCAACACACCAGGTTTCAGTAGTCACTCGCGACTAGCATACCAGGTTTCAATAATCACTAGCGACCAACACACCAGGTTTCAATAATCACTAGCGAAAAACACACCAGGTTTCAATAATCACTAGCGACCAACACACCAGGTTTCAATAATCACTAGCGACCAACACACCAAGTTTCAACAATCACTAGCGACCAACACACCAGGTTTCAATAATCACTAGCGACCAACACACCAGGTTTCAATAATCACTTACGACTAACACACCAGGTTTCACTAATCACTCGCGACTAGCATAACAGGTTTCAATAACTATTTAATATGAGGAACTTACGTTGGTTGAGGTAAAATACGAAGTTCATGGTTTCATTAATAATGGTTGAATTATCGGGAGTTCTAACTTATTTTGAACAACTAAAGATTTCTTTTATTTATTTTAATCCCAGAGTTTCTTCAATATCCATATTGAAAGTGACATCATACAAGATAGTTAAAACTAAAACATTTACAAGCAGAATCATTAGGAAGGTAAAAAAGCTTATTGTACTTCTCCTTGACAGTTTATCAAATTACCTTTACCTTCTCAAACCAGGAAAGGTAAGCTGGACGTGCTGATCGGAGACACCGCAGTCTTGAATTACTTTCGTGGTAACGAACCCGGATGTAACCTGCACCTTCTAGGAGACCCAATCTTCGACGACGCCTACGCAATAGGAATGCAAAAAGGGTTTCCGTTGAAGGTAAACAAAAAGAGAATTTAAATTTACATAGCGTTCAACAGATGGCGCCACATACTTTTTCTTGTCATCGCCAGAGATTGATAAAATGTCAATGTATTATGTACTTTTAAACAAGTGTAGATACACTTAAATCATGTAACTCTCTCTCACGTACTAATTTAGTTTTATAACATAAAACTACAAATCATCTTACAATGAAGATTTATAAGAAGTGTACATTTGCCCTTGTATTATTGTTGACTTTTAAGTAGAAAAACTACATTTGTTTAATGTAATGTTTTGTAGAATTAAATAATAAGTAATGGTAACGTTTCGTGGAATTAGGAGGTTGCTAAGCAACTTTTGTTTTCACGAAATAATCTTTAGTAATTTATCATCATTTTGTTTCTGTTTTGTTTATATTTATTAATTAATAATTACGTTGATGAGCTATGACACCTTATTAAAATAAAATATTGTTTTCAATTCCAAGTCGAGGATTTCATTTTACAGTCTATCACTCTCAATTAAATAATCAGTCTAAAATTATTTATTCAGACATTGCCTTTAAGTAACAAAATGTTGACTTCACACATTATACCCAAAGTTAGCTATTGCCCCACCTTGTGGAAACTACAACAATCAGTATATTATTTTCCTGTAAAGTTCATACTAAAATACTGAATTTTCTTTTCAACTTGCAAGATACGAGATACTTTCTGCTGGCTATTATGTGCATTAATTACCCACAGTAAGAGATCATTTGATCCTTCAAAGTTGACTTTGAACACCAACTCTTATGAAATGTAAATATGTAAACTCAATATTTATTTTTATGAAATCGTCAATTCTCCTCTTAAACTGTTTTTAAAGTGCTGTCCCTCACCACTGCTGATGGCACATCATTCAATAATCCACTCACACTGCTAGAAAAAAAAACTATCTCAACTAGAACGTAATTTGTATTTTATAGATCTTACACTTATGTACTCTCGTTCTGTTATTACAGGATACAAAATAACAGGCCTTCACCCTATCAACCTCTTGGATACTATTGTTAACTTCAGTAAGATCACCTTTTCCCCATCATTTCAGAAAATAACAGATCGTATCTGTGTAAGATAACCCTCCCAATCATCCTAGCATCTTTCCTCTGAACCCTTTCCAGTAAGTCAATATCCTCAGCATTTCAAGTGAGATCTAACTATTCAGGTGGTCTGTTGCTAAAACAACTTGACCTGTAACCTTATAGGTCCCCTTATCGCGATAACAGATACTGGCGAACAGTCTCCAGCTCCATCTTTAGGTTCCCTCAAGAATGATCTTGGTAGACAGCACTTCAAGCCACGTTATGTTCTTAAAGCAGCTCCATGCAGTTGAATTCATAACAACACATCTGCGTTTGACCAACCAGGATATTGTGGGAGTGGTGCACGTTTCTTAATTAATATGATTGGCTCACAGGAAGCCTCATTTCTATCCAAACACCCTTTGTGTCTGTCTATACTAAAAATCTGTTTTAAGTAAATAAATATTTTTGTTGCGCTCTTTGTAGGATGCAATATCCGACCTGATTCTTCGTTACAACGAGTTTGGCTACATCGACCAGTTACAACAGAAATGGTATGGAAGAGTCCCTTGTTTTGATTCTTCAGTTCACAGTCCAACCAAGCCTATGGGCCTGAGCATCAGGGCTGTGGCTGGTGTATTCATCATGTTGTTAGTGGGAATTCTCGTTGGTGTCAGCATATTGGTGCTCGAACATCTGATATTCCGTTATGCCCTGCCCACCCTCAGGGAAAGACCTAGTGACACAGTTTGGAAAAGTCCTAATGTTATGTTTTTTAGCCAAGTAAGTTTGCTTGTTAGCAAAACAGCATACAGTTTCCGAGACAAAGTATTGTAAAAAGCGCCATCTCTTGATGTGTTAATACATTAATCCAGAATTTTCAAATTACCCTAATGGCATAAAAATAAACTTTTACAGTTTGGAAAAGTCAAAAATTAATAATTTGAGCCACTAACTCTTTTCATATTTTTTGGTGAAAACATGCTACCATATTTTTCTTTTTTACTGATATAAAAAAGTGAAAGTTTTATCGGAACTTAATATGTAAAACTCGACCATACATACGTTGTGTTTTGGTAGTTGTTGTATTTATCCAAGATGTTTAGGCTATTTTGTCGTGCTTATTGTGTTAAAAAATTAGTATTAGAAAATCAGTCGCATTATCTAAATTCATTTAAAATATATGTTAAAGCTTGTATTTAAGTGTAATAGGGGGCGCTATATTGTTACTGACTTCGGGCTTAAATAATTTTTTTTCACAACAAGTAATCAGTAGATTACTGCAATGATAATGTTTAACTTGAATATAAGATATTCTACATTACTTGTTTACAAATTGGATATGCTAGGACTGACGTATGGTTTCAGAATATTCGCGTAAAGCTACACAGAGTTATTTGATCTAGCCGTAGCTTAAATAGAACAGCATCTTGGACTACTCTTCTGTAAACAGACAGTGGGTGGGATTTCACATTTTTATGATCACATTAACTGTTTACCACATCAGTCTCTACCGGCCCATTACTGTTTTTACCGAGTCTATGATAATATTTAGGTTTAACTGTAACCAGATAATAACCGCTGCCTTAGATGTTATGCATGGTTCATTAGGCTTAAGAAACATTCCTTTTAATCTCACTACAATCTAGTCTGATCATTCATTCCAATCAGAAACTCCACCGATTCATCAACACCGTGGAGCTGGTGTCGCCACATCACTCAGCCAAAGAAATCGTCAACAACCTCAGAGAGGGACAAATTTTCAGCCTTTTTCAGAAAAGTGTGAAGAGGGTACGTAATGATACAATCTTAGATAGAACACGAGAACCGACAATTTGACGGTTTTCACTTTTAAAGTTTAAGTACCTTTCACAAATCGGTACAATGTAGTACAGAGTTGAAATAGAATTATTTAAGTTTAACTTGTTTACGTTTGTAGATAAGCTTGTCATCGTCTAAACTGTAAACAGCAGAGATACACAGATAGAAATGCCTTTGTGTGCTAGGTTGGGATAAAAGTCCGTATTTCAATATATTTTAGGAGGAGGTTATGTTAGTTTTATCGTAACAGACATTAAATATTAACAACATCTGTTCGAACATAATTAAATTTCAAACAAGTACGTCATAAAACAGCTGCTGTCTGGCGGATCCAGAACAAATCCGAGCAGTTTGTATTGTGGACGCCATTGTCACAGTGTACAACTTGCAAGTCGTGTATTAGCCCCGAAGTCTATCGTTCATCAGTAGTGCAGCTGAATTCATCAGAAAATTTACTAACTTACTTACATGAAAGGTTCATCTGTAGATCTTTTCACTCACTTCAGAATCGGCGTTCTTGTTTACTTGACCACCATTTAATTTTCCTGTTCCTAATCTTCTTATTTCATGAAGACCGTTAGTACCACACAACACTATCCCGAGGTGAAAAACTTGCATTAGCTGCACATAGAGGGCGACACAAATACTTTCTTTTACAGGCTTTATAATATGATATCGCTTGGGTTGGGTGGATATCCGATATTTTACTGAATAAATGTAATTCAAGTTATTGAAACCTGTAATTATTATTAAATAATAATAAGTCGTTTTTTATTCATAAGAAAAAAGAGCGCATAACCCTTGAAAAGGTCGCATCATTTATGGAAAGTGTCACATCGGCGAAAGGGGGCAAGTACCCTCAGTTGTCCCCTTTAAATCCGCCACTGACTGGACCAGGTTTGTTATAAGTAAACTCGTAAAACCTGCCCTACTTTTGTACATTGTATAGTACTTTCCTCGATATCAACTAAACGTTGTACAGTTAAAGTTATACAGCACGTGACTATAGTACGTGTATTCACGTGACTTGCATCTTGCAGGATACACCACGACTCATGAAAAAATAAGTTGCAATTTAGTACCAATTGACCAAAATTTAACTTTTTTTTTCCAGACTGATATGATTTTGTTTTTAAGGGTTTGCTAAGCCTAAAACGCTTGTACGGCCCAGATTGTTAATCTTTTGATCTAATATATTCTTGTCCTTTATAGTTGTATCATTTTAACCTTTAAATTACCGTTCATTATCAAAACCTCAGCATTCGTTTGATTGGTTGGTTCCCAGTTTCAAATTGAGAAAACCTCGTGATTCGTTAACCAATGGCACACCAAAAAACTTAACCCAATCGTTCGTTTGATTGGTTGGTTCCCAGTTTCAAATTGATTCGTTAACCAATGGCATGCCAGAAAACTGAATCGCTACCATCTCTGTTGTCTAGGCAAATTAATGAACATCAAAAGGCAAAATAAGGTCCCTGACACCGAGGTCCTAAACAGGTCTCACATGCTTAGTATTTACATCCTACTGAGGAAGACACAACTCCGCCATGTTTTCAGAATCCCAGACAATCGCCTCCCCAAACGTATTTTCTTCGGTGAACTACAGACCGGAGCAGGCCCCCGTGATGGTCAGAAGAAGCGCTACAAGGACACACACTGAAGGACTGCAACATCAATACTTAGGAAACTCTTGCCCAAAACCGCCCAGCCTGGGGGAGTGCTGTCACAAAGGGAGCAGCCACATATGAAAAACATCGCAACCTGAAAGCCCGGAAAGAACGTGCAGCACGTAAAGCAATAGGAAGCAACCACCAGAACCAAGCAGCCCTCTGCTGTCCTGCCCTCATTGCGCCAGACATTATCAAGCCAGGATCGGGCTAATTAGTCACAAAATCAATGGGTGGTGATCAAGATGGACCTCTTCAATCATGAACAGCACCTGGAATGTTGCAGTTACTCTTATTACTTTTGTATTAATCTAATGGTTCTCAAATTTTTCAAGCTCGCGTTTTGTTTAAAC